GAGTTACTTTCAGGCGTTTTGTCGACAGCATAGTTGACGTCTTCAGTAAGCCTGGCCAGTCTTAGCACCAAGCCACAGGACCAATTTGTCAACTCGAGATCAGACCAATTCTATATAGCAAAAGAAGACTGCGACAAAAACAACTGCCACACAATCTTGGTCGTCATAACTGCGAGTCTTTCTAGCATTGTGATTTAAGAGAGGCTTGGTTCGCCTCGTGAGCTAATGGCACTCGTGTTGTGTGGCAGTGGCAGAGATGCTACTCGAAGCGGATGACCTCCGGTTCCAAATTTTGTTAAAGGTCAAAACAAAACATCCTACCCTGGATGAGATTGCATTGTAATAGAGACTGAGTGATCCTTAAAAGCAGAGTCTAAAGTTCATCCATCAGTCTGCAATGCCTATCTATCTAAAATGCCTGTGGTGATTTATGTTTTAAAACATACACTCTAGGAAAGTGGGAGTAGGTGGTGGTAGGTGTGAGATGGAAGAAACATAATCAACGGGCTGGACGCAGTTTGGTAGATTGGGCGGTAACGAAAAGGACTCGGAACAATTTGATGCAACCGTTCCAGTTAAAACGGGCCATCCTTAATTAGCTTGTCGCAACTACATTTCTTACCCCCACAATGCTTAGGACGACTCATTCTTATCCAAAACCTACTGAAAGTAAATGGGAGACGAGAGAAAAAATCAGCCGGGACTTAGTCTTATGAAGACTGAATGAAGAAGCTTGAAACAGGAAACAAAGTCATCCGGCCCGACGGAGTTTGGCAGGAAGGCTGGTGGAACCTTTCCGGTTAAAAGGGGCCATCTTGAACTCAAAGAAGTCGTCTGCAGAAGTAAACTTCAAACGAACAGCGTAAATCTATACTTATTTACATACTTCCTGGGAATTGTGGATGTGGCCAAATCAGGTGCAATATGAGGAAATCTGATGTCTACGGGACCCAGTTCGGGCATTTCTACACTATTGGTGGAGATCTGAAGTGGTGCCACTGAAGACAGGTACACTTGAATGAAAGCAGATGCTTAGAGGCGGACAGTAGACAACTGACTTGTGCATTCGAGAACACAGACAATAGGCCGAGCGTATGTTCGCCAAGTTATTATCACTCTCGTCCAGTCCGGACGTCCACTCCACTCCAGGACCTCCCAAGGCCAGTTGAGAGTGGCATGCAGACACAGGACACTTCGCACCGCCGGAAGTCTAGTAAAGCGGAACCGAGCCATCTCACCAAGACCGTACACATCGGATAACAGACTAGACCATAGACACATACGCAAATAGTATTGCCGTACTACTAACTAGCGGGCGTAGTCAGTGAAGGTAGCAGGCACACATTGTCTGCATGGTACAGTCCCAAGTAAAATGGCACATTGAGGCACGGTCCCGCAGGTTAGCAAAGCGGCGACCAACACGGACCCAACGCAGTGTGCGTTATGAGTAAAAAGGGATCCAGTCTGTCGCGTGCACAACCATAGAGGCTGGCCAACACATGATTCCAACGCGTCCGCCTACCCACCCACTCATTCACACCCACACCCATACTCAAACGTAAGCACATACATGCGTACAGAAGAGTCTCAAAGGTGTGTGAAAGGGGGAATCTGGGCAAGGAAGCTTAAGTAATTGAACAGATGGAAGGCTACTTAAGGACTGATTCGGAGGGCTGAGAAAGCCTGATAAGACAAGAGCAAAACTGTAATAGAGGGGCGAAAATAATCTGAAGAGCAAGGTGGGAAATAAGAAGGCATATTAGAGGTGGAGCAGGTACAGATTGAGACCTGTAAAAAGGGATGACCGGGCGGGAGAATGAAAGAGTTAGAGGAAGGGATGGATTTAAACAAAAGACGAGTATAAGCGAGTCCGACGGGTTGCGTGCCCTGTTAGAATTGAATGGACGAACGGGTAGCAAAAGGAGAGGTGAAGTGAAGTGGGAGCAGAGACAAGGTCAAGTGTCCACCAGCAAAGTGCCCTCCTCCTCCCTCTCCTCAACGCTTTCCATCTCAATCTCCTGTCCTTCACTCTACCCCCGCCCGTGCCTCATAGCGTGGCCGTCCGACCTTCAGGCGGCAAAGGCCACGCCAGTTCTCTGAGTTGTGCCCAGACGAGACCCACCTTTCTGGACCACCAAGTTGTGAAGAGGGACTGAGCACGTGCTCAGACTTGGGCCGTAGATGTATGGGAAGCTGTGTGAACGTGCATGCATGTATGTGTGTGTGTCTACCTGGTCTTGACCGAATGGGGACGAAATGGAGCAGGATTCCGCACAGAAATCCACTTATTTGCGCTAAGATCGTAATAGTAATGGTAATAATAATGATAATAATAGCAGCCATAATAACGTAAACTGGAATGGCTATGGCGGTAGCAATAGAGAAGTTAACATCAACTACAGCAGTACGACCACTTTAGGCAACTAATTGAGCAAAGAAGTGGACCATCGACCGATGGTAGCATGCAATTTAGGAGGTAAAAAGTTAATTTAAATTGCAAGACTAAATTGAAGTTGTTGTGAAGACTTTCATTTCGCATGAAGTGCACTTCCATATATATATATATATATATATATATATGATCTATGTGAAATCCAATGAGAATAAAAGTTGGGTTTTGATGAATCTCTTATTTCCTATTTCTAGTGAGAGTGTGTACCAAGGTCCTCGAAAGTAGATCCCGCAAAAAGACGATGGCGGATTCCTTCTATTCAACTGTAGGTTGGCTTAGCAGTAATATTCCTGTGTGTATTCACACTATTTTGTTTAAAGTGATGAGGCGACTGGTAGCTGAATTTACATGTAGTCTCGAAAACCAACTTATGCACGAAAAATAAGTAATGTTGTTGATTGTTGTAGCAAATACAACAATGCTTCATCAATAACCCCACCATATAATGTGATATGGGAAAATGCCTGGCTTTCATTGAAATTCACATCTGTACTGTGACCCATTGGCACTCGTGGAAGTGTGGCGTAATGGTTAACGTGTCTGTCAGTGTTAGGGTCCCGCTGGGGGTATTGATAAGACCTAGGCGAGGTCGAAACTGCAGTCCAACCTGGATGAGAACATCTTTTGGGAAAGGAAGGCTATATGAAATTCAATGGAAGCCTCAGCTCTATACATACTATTGTGGTAAAATTCAACTACAAGTCGTCGCATTATCACTTAAACGAAATATGGTGAATACACATATAAGTTATTTACTGGTAGTCTCGAAAAGCTACTTATACACGAAAAATCTCCTTTATTTACAGTAAAAAAAGTGTTAAACCTTCGCCTGTCACATAATTACACACGAGGGCACATAAGGACCCATACACACATACAATCACATGCCTCTGGATTTGTATATGAATAAACATAAACAAATCACCTCATACCTTATAAATATGCATAGGTTTGGGAGATATATACAGCATTTAGGGCAAATACAGTTATAAGTATGCCCTGTTTATTTAAATCAGCTTATAGATGAAGGTTTAGTACATGTTGGAGTACTTTTCACTTCGTTTGAAGAGGCGAGTAGAAGGGATTCGTAAGTGTAAACTTACGGTGAGACCAATTTACGAATCCTTTCCACTCACCTCTTCAAAGGAAACGAAAGCTACTCCAACATCAATATATTAAAGGATTTTTCGAAAACCAGTTTTTCTACATATCTACGTTAGCTTAGCACACTTTCACCGAAATGGAAAGAGATTGCTTCGGGGACAGTAACCATCAGAATGTTCTGG